TAATAATAAAATAAATAATAAAATACAATATCGGAATAATAAACTAATAAAATAATAAACTGTTCTATAACAGAAGTAGTAAAGATCTTTGATGATATTATAGAAAACTAGAACTAAAAACTGAAAAATCAAATGAACAACTCTAGAACAAGAAGGGTCTATCAACCTGGCTACTAGAGTCATACTAGAAAAAAAGATCCTATGCTATGAAATTAGAAACCAAGAGAAGTAAAACCAGAAGACACTTAGAGCCTAAATACAATAATCTATTTAAGCTAACTAGTTTGGTAATTAGGAAAAAATCAGTATAAAGACCAGTTATATTAGGATCAGAATGAACCATGTAAAGGGCAAAAAGTAGATAATAGTAGCAGGAATAAAGATTACAAGTACCAGTTTTTGGATTGGATATAAGTTATCGAAAAACCTAGATAATATATATGTAGAATATAGACTACTCTGATAGATTTACTATAAGAATAAAGTAGTTCTAAGGTGCTTTAGCAGCAAAAATTCTTCAGGAAAAATATTCGACACCACTAAGTCGATTAAAGAGTTTAAATAAAGAATTTATAAGCAGATCTCAGATATGGCAATTAGTAGATAACTATAGATAGAAATAAATATAGCAAAACCTTTAATTAGATAATGACTAAAATTATATATGTGGCTAATTATATTTTTGTTGATATAACAAAGTCAAGGGTTGTCTATTCGGTAACTCTGAAATTTGAACTATAAATTAATAAACCATACTAGACCCTCAAGTGGTTATTTTAATATTTAAAAAAAAAAATTCTGTAATTTCTTGTGATAGATCTTTATTTTTATTTTTGTTATAGAATGACGATTAAAACATTAAAATTGGTCTAGTAGATCGTGAGAAATAAGCATTTTAGTTTTCACGACTATATGTTTTCTTCTTTATATAAATAAAGAAGAAAACATATAGTCATGAATAGTGTTCCAAAAATGTAAATTAGATCAGATTCAGATTGTAATCTAATCCCAACCATCGGATTGAATTTAGCTTCAAAAATGTGATCTTTGCTAGGAAAATCACCCTTCAAGATTTTCTGATCAAGCTAATTCGGATAAACTTAAACCAGAATGCCGGTTCTTATTTATGTATAAATCATCTTTTACTTTATTGATCCTATAGTTTATTTAACAATTTTAAAATCATTAAAGTAAAAGATGTTTTGCATATAAATAAGAAGTGGTATTCTGGTCTAAGATTGTCTGAATTAGCCCGATCAGAAAATCTCGAAGAGTAATTTTCCTAGTTTAGATCCCAAATTTGGATTGGACCCAGATTGAGCAGGATTGGGCCTAATTTAAAATTAGAGTATAAATTTTAGATCAATTACGTCATAAGGGTCCCATCTGTAAAATTTTTCAGAAATACAAAAATCTCATAGAATTATCTGAAAATACCTATTAAGTTATCTGAAAATGTTCTTTAATTTTCAAGTAATTTACCAGTATTTTTCGAATAATTCCATGGGTGTTTTGTAAAATTATGAAATTATGCGCTTCGGAAAATTTGCATTTCAAATTAATGTCTTCCAATGATTAATAGCCGGGTGGACTTTTAAAAAAAAATCTTGTGAAATTTTTTTTATAAAATGTCAACCGGCCACGTTTATTTAAAAGTCTATAGTAAAAAAAAATCTTGTGAAATTTTTTTTAAAAAAAGTCAGCTGGCCAAGTTCATTTAAAAGTCTTATATCATATAAACCATGATATTAAATTTGTATAGTCTTACGATAGTAGCTTTTTAATACTGAGTAGGGCTTTGTTTTACTTTATTAAGTACAACAACGTAATAAATAATAGCTTGTCAAATAGGTTATAGACTGTGATTTGAAACAACTTAGCGATTAATGTTGTAGTAGAAAATAGTATATAGTTGTAATATGTTAAGGGTCATATAGCTATAATATCATCGTAAGTTACTGTACAATAAAGATATTCATAAAGTTATTAACTAAATTCTTTACAATAGAGTAAAACAGTAAATAGTTATATCTATCAAAAATGATACGAGGAAGCGAGTTTAGGGGAGTAGTTTTGGGTCGTAGAATTGTCATATTGCCTTTATAATTTCTAATATGTTTTTGAAATATAGATAAATAAATATTGTTCCGAATAATAATAAAGAAAACAGAATAACTTTTTTCAGAAAAAAACTTGAATCAAAATCGGATTCAGTATTCAAGATTATCTGACTCACCTTTTGTTTTTCTTCGCTATTCCTGTTCATCGAAGTTTTAAACAAATATAAATTCAAATATATATATATATATATGGGTATGTATCAGACAAATTTGCAAATACTTACAAAGCTTCTCTTATCTGGGATTTAAGCGATTTAATATCCATTTTTGTTCAGAAATTTTATTAGATACACACAGTAATTCTTCGGTCTTAATAATATGATTAAGCTGCTGCTATTGCGAAGCAACGATCGATTTAAATGAAGTAAGACTGGCTATTTTATTGGATTGGTCTTCAATGTGAGTAGCATTTATTAACATAAGTGATTTATTAGAAATTCTAAGATTGAGAAACTTTTAAACAGCATAGAAAGTATTTATTGCGATTTGCAAAATTTTGAATTCCATTGATTGATTATCATCTAACAATCACAATCACATATTTAATAATCAATGGGATACAAATTGCAATAATAATTTCTTATCAGTATTAAAACAAAATATGAAGATTATAAATGACATACTTTGTGTTAAATTTTAGGATCTGAAGATAATGATATTAATTCTCTAAGCTCTTCTTGGTCTTCGCCCTGCTCTTCAACAGGATTTTCCTCAACCTCATTAACAAGTTCATCATTATTGTCACCGCAATCATCAAAATATTTATCTTCTGTTTCGTAGTCTTCATAAGTTGCAACACTTTGAGAATTAGATTGAATGTTCATCATATCTACATTTGAATTTGCAGAAACTCAAGGCCTACGCGATTTTGTAGTAGGCTGATAATTGGAATTAAATGTACCATATTCGTTAATTGCATCTAGAACACGTGATAATATGTTATCTGACCCTATAGGAAGATTTTCGTATAGCTGTTTAATCAACTTAATTTTATATTATTTATACAGTTTAAAGTACTTTTTGAAAAAAATAAAACTACGAAGAATAAACAAAAAAAAAAGTATATAGAAAGTTTTATTAGGGTTGTAGAACTTCAGTATTAAAAATAATCAAATCATTTCTGGTTTTAGAGAAGTTAGCATTGTAATAACCTAATTTTATCTATCTTTAAAAAGTCACTATTATGCTAACTTCTCTAAAACTGAAAATGATTTTGATTATTTTTAATATTGGAGTCCTACAGCCCTAATAAAACTTTCTATATACTTCTTTTTTGTTTATTCTTCGTAATTTTATTTTTTTTTAAAAAGTACTTTAAACTGTATAAATAATATAAAATTATTGCGATTTGCAAAATTCTGGATCCTATTGATTAATCATCATCTAACAATTGTATATCAATATTAATAACAATTACATTGTTATTAATTTGTGATTATTAAATGATGATCATTCAATGGGATCCAAAATTTTGCAAATCGCAATATTATTCTCGCTTGGATCAACTTTATTGATGAAGATACAATATGGGAGTGGTACTACGCTGCGGCTCTCGGCGCCGATATATATACTTCCAAATATAAAAACAACTATAACTTAATCAGATATCATACGCTAGTCATGTGACGAAGACAAAGGAGGATCGAAACTCAAGCATGTATATGATGCACTATGATAGTACATTCCTAACCCTAACAAAGACCCAATTCATATTTCCCACCCTTTCTGCTTCCACTGCTCCTTCCACTTTTTCTGCTTCTTATACATCTGCTTCTTCCTGCTACTTCTTGTTTCTCTGGCTTCTTCTGCTTTGTCAGCTTTTTCTGCTTTATCAGATTTATCAGCTTCTCAGGCTTCTCAGACTTCTTTGGCTTCTTATCCTTCGTTAGTTTCTTTGGCTTTTTCCACTTTCTTAGCTCCTTCTGCCATTTCTGCTTCTGCTCTTCTTCCTGTCTTACCTCCTTATTTAGTTCGACCCACCAGTACACACTCATTTTTGATCTATTCCTTTGCCTTTACTTACCAAATTTATAATTCCCCTTCTTTTTAATCAGCAAGCACGAGTCCACGCTATAGTGTGGCACATTCTACTTGCTACACATATGCTAGAAACAAACACACTACACCTAGCCAATGACAACAGATGAAATACTTTTTTTTTTTTTTTTTTTTTTAATGTAGCAAGTACGAGCCCATGCTATAGTATGGCGTATTCTACTTGCTACACTACAAGTAACGACAAAAAGGTGCTTCTTTCTTCTTTATTTAAGTAGTATATACAAGCCCACATGCATTCTACTTCCATCCATACACATACTTCTCCACATTTTACTTTCTATTAAATAGCAAGTACAGGACCATGCTATGGTGTGGTGCATTCTACTTGCTTCTTTTTTTTTTTCTATTTTTTTTTTTTTTTTGCCATTGGGGTAAGGTGTTCCTAAAGATCATCTTTCAAGGTTTTTTTTTTTTTTTCCTTTACCGAGGGGTTCATAATCAGGTTATAAAAGAGAAACAGAATTGTAAAATGCTATGGCTCTTGTATTTTACTTTTCTTCTCTCACCTTTATTACTATAGTCGTATTCACTTGGTTCACAACCAGTACATAGGCTAAACCAACCTGTAAATACCTATATTTGTATATTAAGATTCGACTGAAAGCTCTTCCAGGTTCACAGCCATCGTACGTGTAGACAATTCTTGTTTCAAAATTACTCAGGGTGGAAGAACTGTTGATGGTACTTGTCGATTTGGATTCGCTATTTTTTGGATCAGTCCAATATTTTGGTCCAATTGATGATAAGCCTGGATTCTGTGCAGCTCCTTCCTTATTCAATAAAATTTCTTCTTTCATTTGTAAATCATCTCATTTAATAAGAGAGACCAGCGCATTTTCTTGAAGTGATGTAAAATCTTTGAAGTCAAGATCTTATATGGATACTTTTCCAAAATTGTTACACCATTTTGTAAATTTTGTAACTGATTATTTTGGAAACTTCTCAGAGTGTTCTTTTGTTTGGCGAATCTCTATACTCTTAATCACGTTAGTTTTTTTTGGCTCAAGGTAATATTTTTGATTTATTTCTCTCTTTTTTTTTTTTTGTCTTTTTTTTTTTTTTTTGAATATCGATTTACCAAAACCGGATCAGGTCATATGGTAACGTTTTCCATCCTTTTATTCAAAACCACGTTTCATTCTTGTGATCCATAGCATTTAAAAAACAGTATCAGAAGCTAATTCACACCCAATATAGGATCTTTAACCATTTTAGATTAGCCTCTGCTCTGCACAACTATGTAACTTCTGCATTTTACTTTCTTTAAGGTAGCAAGCACAAGCCCACGCTATGGTATAGCGTATTATACTTGCTATACATATATATAATAGTTATATGTTCTATATATATAATTTTTGAACCATTTTTATACCATCTACATTAGCTTTTGCACCAGGGATATATCCAATAAATTCATAGTCACTAACTTCCACATTCAAACATTTTTAGGTAAACTCTCTCAAAAAGTTCTTGCTACTCCAATCTTCAACAATTCTTTAGGGGCAGGAAGTGGGCGGGACTATACGAAGAAGTTGAAGAACTATTGATGGTATTTGTCAATTTGGATTTGCAATTCTTTTTAGTATATCTTTTCAAAAACCTTTTTCCAAGATTGTATGGTTCTATATTATCAACAATGTTATCTCCGGATATTTGAAAATGAGGTATATGAGGTAACCGATTCTTCAATATATTGTTCAAAGCTAAAAGGTTTTAGCTAGTCCAATTTTTTGGTCCAATTGATGATAGACCAAAAATCATTCTGCCATTTTAGTAATTTTTTTTTTTTAGTATTTTACTTGCTACACATGCACAACTTCCTGGTTCTTACTTTCTTTAAAGGAGCAAGTATGGGCCTACGCTATGGTGTGGCGCATTCTACTTGCTACTGTATATATACACTTAACCATCATATATTCCCTTCACATGGTTTACGTTAACTGATTCCAAAGATAATTAAACGTCTTAATATAGTGCTTTGAACCATTTTAACACCATTTGCGTTGGCTTTCGCACTAGAATATACCCAAGAGATTCATCGGTTGTATGACTACTGATTTTCACATTCTAATATTTCTAGGCAAGCAGGTCTCTTATTACTCCAATTCACAACAGTTTCTTAGAGCAGGTGGGGGTAGGACCATACGTAAAAAAGCCAGACCTAAGTTAGGCAGCAAAGAAAATATGCACTGCTAATCATAATTATCTATCTATTCCTTAAATACTATTTCAGATTATATAGATTAAATGGGTGATCCTCACGATAATAACCCTAGCGTGACTATTGTTAATGTATAGGCTATTATTCTCGCTCGGATTAACTTTATTGATTAAGATACAATATGGGAGAAAAAAAAAGATTGTGAGAAAGTGGCGTATTTTTCAACGGGCTGTTCTTGCAAAGTATGTATAATAATGCTTTCCTCAAGTCTGTTACGTTGTAAATTCAAATCTTTGACAAATATTACTGCAAAGTTAATCAGCCGATGCTATTCTTCTTCTGATCCAAGATTATTTACTAAGATCTGGAAAATCAATGTGATTTCTTGCAAATACATTATTTTGTTCGATTTCTTCTTAAAGCAGATACATTATCTGTTACGATTTCTAATAATTCATTTAAATCTGCAGGTGATTCTTCATCATAAGATAAGTATCTCAAAGAATTTCTAATGCCTATACATTATTTAGTTCAATTTTTAATAATTTGTTTAAATTTGCATACAACTCTTCATATCTACTCATCATACGATAAGCATCGCCACGGGTTCTTAGTGCAAATGCACTATTTTGTTCACTTTCATATGATAAGCATCACTGTGAGTTTTAACATAAATGTATTAGCAAATACATCAGTATTCTTGCTCGTTCGATAGGCACAGGAATAATGTGAAAATGATGCGAAAGCACTGTTTTTTTCTCTTCTTTCTTCCCCTTTATTTTTTATTTTTTATTTTTGGCAAAGGTCTATATAACAAAATATATCTACTGGTGCTTTTTACCCTTCTGATCCAAGAGCGTTATCCCTTATATTTAAAGGAGTTTAAATAGTGTCCTTGCAATATGCATCAGTAATGTTTAACCACCTTCTGGTTCAAGATTGTTACAATAAGGACCAGAGAAATTAACATAGTGTTTTTGCAAAGTGCTTTTATAGATGCTTATCCTACTTATGAGCTAACATCATTACCTTCAAGTCTCAATTTCTTTAGCATATTGCTCTTATAAATATTTATCTATTAATGCTGATATTATTTCATTTACTTTGTACAGTACTTATCAAAGCACTCTAAGCCTATTTAATTTGTTTGTTCATCTTATTGTATCTATAACTAGTCAATACAAATCTGTATTGTCTTGTTCCTCTTATGGAAAGGGGCGCTATACGCGAAAAAGCCAAACCTAAGTTGGGCAGCGAAGGAAAAATACACTGCCGATCATGATTATCTATCTATTCCTTAAATACTATTTCAGATTACACAGATCAAATGGGTGATCCTTGCAATAATAACCCTAGCATGACTATCGTCAACACATAGAGCTAAATAGCCAATTCTTCCTATGGAGGTGGACCTGGATCAGGGTGTAAAATACCAACTCATTTACTGGCCACGCAGTCCATTATTTTAAGTATCTTTTTTGATACATTAGAATAATTTGAATCAAGAACGAAATTTTTGAATAGCCAGTAAATAAGTTAGTATTTTACGTCTTGACCTAGATCACATAATTTAGTTCGAGCCTGTACTTAGCAATATGCAACATCAGACCAGGTTTTAGGAGTACTGGGAGGAGACCTTGTACTGTATCTGGAATTCAATTGGTATTGAATATTATGTGAAAATGTGTCACTTTGATAATGAGAAGAATCATTGAATTCGACAAATATTTTGCTCTTCACTCTTGATGATCGATAAGTGGTCTATTTATTTGTGTTAAAAGATAAATTTTCATGGTTATGCTTTCTATAAAAAAAATTTTTTAAATTATACTCAGACTTTACTCAGCATTTTCTGTATCAAAAATCTATGCAAACCTTTAAAATTTTCTGAATATTTTAAAGGTTTTGTATAGATTTTTGTTGCGGAAAATGCTCATCTCTTAAAAAAATAAACCGAGTAAATTCTAAATATGATTTCAAATGTTTTTTTATAGGGACTAATGACTTATATCATCATTTGATTTCAACATTGATCTTTTAGTATTCATATTGTAACTGGGGTTACTTTCCCATGAAACATCTGAACTAGTGTAATTAAGAGATACATCAGAACTAGAGCTAAAAAGAGCTTTTCGAGAAGATTCATCAGAATTTGTATTTTGTTTATAGCAGGAATTTTCA